CACATACACACACACACACACACACTCACAAACACGCACATCATGGGCAGCTCTCTATGACACATGGAGACTGTGGAGGTGAGGGGATGGACAGACAGACAAATGCACTCCCACACACTCACAAACTCATATATCATCGGAAGCTGTGTACGACAAGTGGAGGCTGTGGTGGTGAGGGGATAGACAGACATGCACACTCAGACAAACACTCTCACTGAGACACATACATGCATGCCATGGGGAGCTGTCTACGACATTTGGAGGCAGGGGGATGAGGGATGTACAAACAGGCATACTTGCACACACCGACACATATACATACCATGCACACACAGATGCAAATGCACATACAAATACACACTCATTCGCACACACATACACACATACACATACACGTACACACACATTTGTTTTATTATATAATTATGTGTATGAAATTACTCCGCAAGAGCTATGTGAGGAGCTTCTCATGCTCATTTTATTGCTAATGAATTAATTCCAGGTATACAAATATATGAATGTAATCTTTGTTTAGTGCTTGGCTGAGATTACTAAGAACTTTGAACTAGTGTTTATTTCAGAACTTCTGTCATGATTTTCTGTTCTTGCCTTTGTAAATGGAACAAACCAAACTATAGATCAAAAGAGATAAAGGCAAAAACTTTAAATTGTTATTGACTCCTACCAATTTTCCCTGCTCTCTTCCATTTTGTTCCTTTCCTCAGATCAGCAGACGAGAAGACAGAATTATACTCACCACAAAAGGCCCCTTTGAACAGGTAATAATCTTTAGGAATTGAGAGAGAGAGAAAGAGAGAGATTTTCAAAATTAATATTAACTTTTTCTTGCACAGTCATTAGTTGTTTTGCCTTGTGTACAGCCACCTATTCAGGATAATCACCTGTACAAATGAGTACATTCCCCTTCCCACTTCCCATCTTTGCATTTTATATATAATAAAACTAGTTGTTAGGTACCCATTCAATGAAAGGACTCAAAATCAAAAGAATATATCGTCAAGTTATTGTGGAATAAGTGCTCACTGCCTCTGAATGGAAGCCTCACTTGTTTACAATGGCGTCTTAGAAGACGGACTTTCCAAAGATTAAATTTAATCGAAACTAATGAAAAACTGAAAATTAAACTACAGTGACTTCAGACTCCTTAATATAACTGTGCACCCTTTAAACGATTCTGAACCACCAATAATTTTTTCAAATTCGAAAGTTAGGTGGTTCGGAAGTTTTAGGCAACTAAAGTGATGAACTTTGACAAATATAATATGTTTAGATATAGATGATACTGTCTAAGATGTCCGCCTAAGACTGCCATTTTTCTCCTCAACGTAGGGTAGCAGTCTTGGACAATTTCGACTCTATCTCACTGTTCCTCAGCAGTAAATGAAGGTTTATTGGGTTAATGTTTTTCTCTTCACTCATGTATCTTTTCCCTCATAATCAAACGATCATTATTATTATTGTGTTGATATGTTTTTCATTATTCTTACCCTTCTCCCAGATCCGAGCCAATGTGGGAAGCGCCATGTGTTTCTGTGTGTCGTGCGACAAAAACGCCCGTGAGCAGACCCTGGACGTCCTACGCTACTTCTGCGTCAAGGTCTCCAAGGAAGACATTTTCAGTCGCTGTGCTGTAAGTCTGTGTATCACTCAGGGGTGTCGATTTTCCTGACATTTTCGGATATACCAATTTCTGAATTTGTCTCGTGCGTGCACTTTATATAAAGATATAGTAAAAGCATCCCAGCTCATAAATGTTCTAAATTGTGTCAATGTTAATGTAAAACAATGTGCTCTGATCTATGTCATGAA